GCAAGACTATTAATATTATAATTAATTAAGATTTATAGTTTATAAAATATAATTTATTAACTATAGAAAAAGTATCTTGTATTATTATTATTATAATAATAATTAGTATATATTTTTCTAAAATACTTTAGTATAATAATATATTTTAAATATAGTTTATAGCTTTATATATAATATATATATTTTTCTTCTCTAGTCTATAATATTCTTACTACTTATATTAAAATAGTCTTAAAATTTAGATTTTAATATAGATTAAATATAATAAAGATTTTTCTAATTTATATTATAAATTCTTTTATTATTAGTATAGTTACTATATTCTAGATTATAATTAATAAGTAACTAGGAATATATTTAGAATTTTAGATATAGTTAATATTTAGCTTACTAGCTAGATTTTATAGATAGTTAGAAAAGAGAATATTAGTTATTTTAATTAAGAAAAGAGATAAAAAACTTATTATTATAATTATTAGAACTAAATTACTAGTTATTTTAAAAAAAGAACTAGTTATTTTAAGAAATAAAGAGCTAGCTATTATAGTAATAAGAAGAAAAGAGCTTGTTAGTAATAATATTTTTAGTTTATAAAAATTAAAATACTGTCTAGTAATATAAAAAAAAATAATATTTGATTTTTTTATATTTTATAGAAAAAATATTCTTTATATAATAATAACTAATACTATAGCCTGTAAATTTTGGTGTTAATTATTCTATTAAGTAGTATATAATATTTTTAATTAGTATTATTAATATATTGGTCTGATTATGATTATATATATTATTTATTAAGATTGTATAAATAATAAAAAAATACCTGTGTTAATAATTACTAAGTATAAAATTTCAAGCTACCAAGCAAAGCGAGGGATTATGGCTTGTTGGATGTATTACATTTAGTTCTTGTACAAAGTTTCTATTCAGAGAAATTGAAATTGAGTCTATGTTATATTTTCACTGTATAGAAGTCTTAAATAAACAAGGACATAAGCCAAATGTAGGTAATGAATCATGCATGGATTCAGCTAAGTGCTCTGGACAAGTGAGGTAGATTTCAGACAATATAGCAAGGCAGTTTCCATGCCTAGGGACATGGTGTGCTAAACCAAGTCAATAAAAACTAAACCTGAATAGGCTCTGATATAGTCGTCCGATATGGTGTAACGGCTAACATCGCCGCCTTTCAGTAAATGAAAGCAAAAGTTCCGCGGCAGCTCGGGGTTCGATTCCCCGTATCGGAGTCATGAAATCTCGCTTTTTTTGCGTGTACCTGAGTCAGCTCCGGGTTCTTTTTTCTTGGCTGATTGAGCAAATAAAGTAAGTGCTTGTCCAAAACAAAGTCAAGTGAACGTCATGATAGGGGCCATTTTCATGTGCCTAGCCTACTTCTTGATATACGGACTGGCTTGAGGGTCTCTAATCAATGGTCACTGATGGTGGGTGGAGAAAAGCTCGGCCTGGGCCGCTGGCTAAGGTTGTGCAAAAGACTACGGAGTACTCCGTCCCTAAATTTTACTAATGTAAGTCATGCAGATTCATGCAGCCTTAGCCAAGGCATTCATTCATTCATTTGTTCCTACAGTAATCCAGGTGGAGGGATATAGTCCCCTGTATTCAAGACAAGAACTTCCACTCTTGTCCATTGCAAACCATCAGATATCGCATGTATACATCGAGTCTGGTTTGCTCCAGGAGCTATACTGGAGCCATTGAGTATTGAAAACTAAGACTAACGCCTTGTACATACATGGCCAGATGATGTACATCAAAAGAATGAAACATGGAATCGCTCTGGCACAAGATAATCCCGTCCGGCCAAAGGAAAGATGCTGTTGTATCAACAGAAGTAGCCGGATCACGACGTCCACGACACAGCGTAGCATTAAATCCTCATTTTCACCAGCGCGTTCGGCGGCTGTAGGGACTGGACAAAAACGTAAACAGGGAAGGTCGACGAGTAAAACATAGACTAAAGATTTGAGAAAGAAGCAAGCCAATAGGGAAAGAAAAAGACCCACCATCCAAGTCTGGTGCTGCAGAAGGCTGCTATGTGGTTCCAAACACATAGGGAGAAAACAACATTAGAGGCAATTTCAACTATGACGTGAGAGTATCCATTTTGAACAGGTGAGAAGATCTGGCCCGCTGTCCAAGTACATCAAGAAGTAGAGAGCAAAAAAGAGACAGAGAAAAATAACAAAATCATCCAAGTGTGCACATCCGTTACGTCTCAGTCACATTATGTACGATGTTCGCGTTACATCATCGGGGTCTTGCGCTTTTCAGCGCTAGATAGCACAAGCATGGGGGTCTTGCGCCTTTCCGTACCCTGTGCTGCTGTCTTCTGACCAGCGACGACAGCAGCCACCGATGGTGTTCCCATGGGCGAAGAAACCTGATCCGTGCGAACATCCGCGAATTTTCCGCCAAAGAAGCTGTTGTCTTCACTGATCGGAGTCGTCGTGTACGGGCTATCCTGCGACCGCCGTTCACGAGAAGATCTTTCCTTCCTCTCGGATCCAATGGCACCATTGGCGGCCGCACGAAGACTTCCCAAACTGGGTTTACTCGAGAGGCTACCGCTACGAACAGTGGCATCGTCACCGTCGGAGAATGTGAATTCCTTCTCACTCGCCGGGGTATTGGTTCCACCACTGCTATGGCATCCGAAGCTGCGGTTGTCTCCGCGTCGTTCGAGGCCTGCACGGACCAGATTGTGAACAGCACGACGGCGCTGGCGGGTTGCAAAGTTCTTGCTTCCTTCATGATTCGATGTAGGCTTAGCAACAAGTTCTTCCAATGACGGTGGGCCCCGGGGTTGTCGGACAGGGTGCTCTCCAGCACGATTTTGGCCAGGCCCAAAAGTTCCGGTTGCCGGCGTCTGCGAAAGAGCGGCGGTTTTGGGAGCAGCAACAGCGATGCTTGAGTTGGCCTTGGCTGTGTCAATGGAGAATCTAGCCGCGGGGCAGAACGAAGAGCTCTTCTTGTGACCTCTGCGGAAAGCATTGAGAGACGGGGGAGGTAAGGGAGCAGTCTCCTGAGGAGGGGAAGGGCTGGCACTTGGAGGAGAGGCCGGCTGCGACAATTGCTTCGTCTCCGGAGGGGGGGAAACTTCAGCTCGGAACGTCGGAACCTGCATGGCGGGAGGCTGCGTCTCCTCTTCCTGATAGGGAGAATGATTCTCTTGCAGGCAGGTGTTGTCATAAATGTAGTTCTGCTGGCCAGTGAGGGGGTTGTAGACTGAGAACAGCCCAGGTTGACCGGGCACCGGTTGCACTATGGGCTGCACACCCTGCTGTAGTTGCTGCTGATAGAAGCCCATGCTCGGAACCGCGAGGGAATGATATTCTTGCTGCTGGTTCATCGGCGTTCCTAGGCTGAGACCCTGGAACTGTTGGGCCGCGGCAGTAACACTAATGAGTTGTTGTTGCAGACGCTGTTGCTGAGCTGCCAGGAAGAGGTTCGTTGACATCAATTCCGCGTACAGACTCTCGTCAATTGGCATATCGCCAGCGATGTCAATAGCCGGAGGTGCAAGCACCTGCTCCGGCAGAGTGTACATGGGACGACCAGTGCTCATGTCCAGACCTTGATTGAGGGCCAATGAGTGTCGAGGGAATCCAGTTCCCATGGCAGTTTGTGGAACACGTTCAGCAGTGCGGTTTGGAAGATTTCCATATCGATCCCCCTCCACGCCGAGATGCTGCTGGCGGGCGGAAGTCGACGGGACGGTGGCTGACTTGGGAGCAGTCCTTAAACCAGCCAAAAGATGCGAACGACTGGTGCGCGGAGTGGGAATGGGCGCCGACGGCTGCGATTCATCGATGGTGGAGATGTGCGGAGGTACACTCGACCGCTTCACATTAGGACCCCTTCTCCGAGACCCAAACCCGGAACTCGGGGCCCCAAGCGAGCTTCCACTGTTGAAAGATGGATTGTAGGTCATCTGAGCAAGACCGCCAGTGTCCATACTCGTAACTGGTATAAAGGAAGATAAAATTGAGGACAGTATGTGCAACGGGCAAAAACTAAGAGTCGTAGTGAACCGAAGGCACTATGTATCGATAACCCTGTGTATTAAATTATTACAAGGAGACGGAGGTAAAGATGAAACACTCGAGGATTGTTTTGGCGCCTATAAGGCGTGTCTATTATGCAAACCGTCGAGACTGCCGTCACCAGCCCTGAAAACCTTGCAAAAGTCAGCAAATCATCAGTGCGACCGGCGTAAGAACGAGCATACCTGAGAAATATGGGATGAGGGGGGTTTAAAGAGGGAGCTAGGAAAGACAATGAATGATTAAGATCCAGATATACAGGGAACGATAGACCTGGAGGCCAGGGCAGGACGTGCGTAGTAGCTGCCAAAAGGAGATCAGACGGCAGTAGTGGACGACAGACGCGACCGGACGTCAAGAACAGAGGTAAGTCGAGAGAGCCGAGAGAAATGAAGTTCTCCGAAATTAAAGACAATGATTAAAAAGAAAAAAGAAAAAAGGTGGGAGATGCTCTACAGCTCCCGACCGAAAAGATGCTTGACACGAAAATTGTCAAGAGGACTTCGAGAAGTTGCCAAAGGAAAATGAGACAGTCGCTCAAGGAAAAGACTTTTTCTCTTTCCTCTCTCTCTCTTTCTTGATCTCTGGGTTTCTTTTTTCACTTTTCTATTTTTTTCTTTGGCTTTTTTTTTTGTTCCTCCTGAGTTTCCCAGAAATCGATCGTGGAGAAAGGGAAAGAAGAAAGAGAGATGAATGGTTGATAGGGTACGGAGTACTGATGAATTGGTCCGTTCGGCTGTTGGCGCGCGTTGGGTCGCTTTTTTTTTTTTTTTTTTTTTTTCCCTTTTTTTCTCGTCCCTTCGCGCTCTTTTCCTTCGTCTAGGTACCCGCTTTGACCGTCTAGAGTTCAGGTCGGAGGGTCCTAAAGAACTTCTAATTCACTTTTGTGGATTAAATATAACTTTTCCAGATCGAAAGGTAAATAAGTCTGCTAGGAAAATGAAATGATCGCAGATGGAAAAGAGAATGAGAATAAGGAAATTAGTTTGGGTGAAAGAACACAAAAGGGGGGAAGAGAAGGCAAAGTAAGATAGAACTGAGAGGGTGGAGGAAAGCCGATTGAGAGAAGGGAACTAGAGGGGAAAAGAAAGAGTGGGTGTAAGAAAAGAAGTAGGAACGGGAGAGACAGCGAGAGAGAAAAAGAGAGAGAGAGAGAGAGAAGAGAGAGAATTAGTTGAATGAAGAGAAGAAAAAGGGACTAAATGAAGAATAGAACTGAAGAATTAAGGGTGCTAATAATACTCCGTACAAGTTACATAAATCAGCCATCATCCATTGATCGCAGACGCTGAGACACTGAATGGTTGGCCACTTCTGACATATGCACCCTGACTGGCTCGCTTAATATAACACTAGTCCCAAGAGGGGTTAGGCTATAGGGATGGATGGACTCGAGGTGCTGACCTACCTTTGTAACTACTACGGAGAGGTACCTCCTAGGTACCCAGGTACCTACTATTAGAACTTGAAAGTTCTCAGAACTACGGAGTACCAAGATTAGATCATTACGGAGTACCTAGGTAGATGATTACGGAGTACGGAGTACCCGACCTATTTATTGATAGCCATTGTTTCCAAGGTTGCAGTTCCAGGTGAGGTGTCGATCTGATTTGGGAATGGCTGTTCTGATGTGATGCCTGAAATAGTACGGAGAACCGTACTTGACCAATAGATTGGAGGTTTAAGGGATGATTGACCCTCTGCTTGTCAATCCCTATTTATTTCTTTATCTAACTTTGGTACAAGATTCTTTCAAGACGTAATGCAGAGTTATTGCGTAGATAAATGTAAAATTATCGACTAAGACATCCAAGTCTGTAGTGCAGTCCCTGGTTTAATTAATGGACCTAATACAAAGTCACAAACATCGCATCAGCCGCTATGACCAGCCAATCCACCCATCTCTGCAGCCTGACAATGACGCCGCTATGCAAACCCCTCCCAATTGGTTCAGCATGGATAACCCACACCCTTCCCTGGATCATCCCGGCCTAGCAACTTTCAACGTGGCCTCCCTCGCCGCCAGCCAACCGCTATCTACTAGTCTGTCGTAGATTCGCCCATCCACTGCCCCTGACTGGCTGCGCCCGAATTGTTCGCCCACCTTCCCCACCACCAGCTCGGTGGTGGTTTACTAGGTAAGGTATGCACTATTCCATCATGGATGGGCCATGGGAGATCGG